GCAATCATAGCTGCCTTCATTATTGTAACAAAGCTGGTTACATCTGGCCTTTCCTTCGTTGCATTCATCGATATCTAATAAACGTAAACCACTAGATTACAAATATGATTATTTCGTTCTCTCCTAGGCCAATATTAAAAGATTGATAAGATAGCACCATAAGGAAAAATACTTTTAAAACAATTTAAAAATATAGTTAATTTCGATAAACAAGCACTGATATTGGAAAATAGCAATTTCTTGCCTCTATCAAAGAAAAAAAGATTTTTGCTGTACCTGTGCATGACTTTTTGTCTGATTTCAGCTGATACCCCAAACGACAGGCGCAAGTAGCTACGTCATTAGAATCAAAGCAAATATGTTGACAACCGTGATTTCCACCATTGCACAGAAATTTAGCTGAATAGATAAATACAGAGCACAATATACAGATACTTATATCGCACAAAGAACATAATTCAAATAAAAAAAATATCAAATAACTCAACTAACAGATGCATTTTTTTGGATCAGAAGGGTCCTCTTTGAAGTCACTGTTGCAACTGCAATGATAGCTTCCAGGAGTATTTTCACACTTCTGCATACAATCAGTTACACGTTCACATTCATTTACATCTGAAAATTTAGAAAGAAGAATTAACTGAAACAAGTAATGTAAGACATATTTCCAAACCTATTTAATTAATGAGTTATCAATAAATATTTATAATCTGAGTTCAATAGACCTCTGCAGCTTTTACGTCATGTACCGTATACGCAATGAATTGTAGGATATGTTTGGGACAGAACATGGCGGATTTCGTTTGTTTTCTCTTGAGACTGATCCCACAATGCATTGAAAATCAAGTAGTGACGTAAAAGGTTCAGAAGTCTATTGTTGCATGAATTATACCCTGACAAGTAGAACGATCAATTTGAAGTGAGTACCCAATATCACAACCGCAAATAAACGACCAAGGGGTATTGTAGCATTTTTGTGAACAACGATTTAAGCCACCTTGACATTCATCAATATCTGAGGAAATAAATAAGATAGGATATTCACTTATATTAATGTTCCTATGCAAACAGAGTCTCATTTCTTCACATTCACGAAGCGAGAGACCACTTACGAGATTAACCCTTAAAATTAGAAACTTGGCGTCGACACTGGAACTGTTGATTTATTTCGTAAGGTAAAACTTAGCGCAGTTAGCTTACGTAAGAAACCAGAGAAAGTTTCAGGATACATCTTTTGAAAAAATGTGCATTTCAACGTGTTTGAAGTTTTAGAGTTTGTCACAACGTCACAACGGAATCAAAGCTCAAAAGAAGATGTTGCATTAAAGATCAATGTCTAGAGTCCGTTCAAAACCGAATTATTTTATTGTAAGAATTGTATTATTGCGCGCACTATCTACACACTACACTATGATAACTATACATCCAATGAGTGGTAAATTATACCTTGGCATGAGTCACCCTTCCCTGTCAATCCAGATGGACAGGGTCCACACTCGTACCCACTCTCATTTGCCGGGGCAGGAAGATCTTTACACTCAACTCCAGGAAAACATGGATTTAGATTGACTTGACAAGCATCGATATCATTCTCACAATACTGCCCTGCGTATCCACTTCTACACTCGCACGACAGGATTGTAAAGCGATTGTCACTTTGGCTTTGGATTTCATCTAGTTGTTGGACGCATTTTGCTCCATTTTGGCAGGCGCATAAATGGAATGTTGGTCTTAGAATAGCAACAGCGCCTTTAGTATCAGTAGCAATAAACGAAATATTAACCTGTAATGACGAAGAAAAAACAATATTAATTTTGTTCTAATTCTGTGATTCAAAAAGTTAAGGAAGTGAACACTTTTCATAGCTTTGAATATTCACGACTTATCTCCAAACTCTTTTTTTAAGGGAAATTTTAATTCAAAAAAAAAAATAATAAAAAACTTTGATGAAATAAATCAGACTTTGCAATGTCCTATCAAATGGCAAAAGTTTTCACCCTCTTATATCCGACAAATGATGATTCATAACTGCTA